GGGGAAGGACCTCCTCCCATGGGCTGCAGACCCCTCCCCACGGCCTGGCACACAGCTATCTCTCGGGCCAGGGCCTGAGTGGGAAGAGAGCCTGTCCCTCGGGCCCCTCTGCAGTTTCTGCCAAGCACCCCCCACAGTCCTCCTGGGAGGAGCACCCACCTGCTCCCTCTTGGGAAAGCAGTGACATGGGCCAAGGCGAGGTCACTTCCAGACTCTAGTTCTGGACACAAATGGCCCCACTTCTCGCCAGGGCCCTCAGCTGCTGCGGTCTCCCGTGACATGGCCACTGTGAATGGCAGAGGAACCTGGGTCTCCCCCAGCTCGGGCAGGTGGCCCCCTGCCTATAAGCCTGGGGTCTGCTCCCGGTCCTTCCCCAGACCCTGAGGCCAGCACAGCGCAGGATCCCGTTCCCTCACCGCACTGCATGGGAAGTCAGGCCCCGGTCTCCACAGGCCGGCATGATCGGCAGCTGATGTGACAGGTACTCGGCACCGGGTGCCACATCCCTCGACCTCTGCTGCCCGTTTCTCTCAGGGTGTCACCCTGGTGACAGCTGGCGTGACAGACAAGCACTTCATCCGGACAGATGCACATGCGCTCCAAGCTGACCAGCCACAGCTCAGGATTATGACCCAGATGCCTCCCTCCAACCCAGCCTCCACCCCAAAATGCCAGGAGGCTGCCCTACAGTGGCCTGGAGTTTCAAAACAGCACTCGGGAGGTTCTGCACCCTTTAATGAGAGCCACACACCCTGGAGCCACCAAACTCGCCTCGGTGGGAAGAGAATGGACCTCTCAAAACCACGGCAGCAGCGGCAGAGGGGAGGAAAGCTGTGGGCCGGCCGGGTGCTGGGCGGGCACATGCTCATTTAAGGATCAAATGCTCTCGGCATGCTGGAGGCTGACCTGGAGCCTCCGGGAAAGGGACAGGCCATGCCCTCCTCACCCGCAGACCCTCCCCCACTCTCACAGCCTAGCCAGCCTCCGCAGGGTGGCAGCCTCCTCTGAGCCGCAGTCCAGGGTTCTCACCAGCACCCTCCATGCTGCCTCTCGCCCCTTCTGAGCCAGACCCGACCTGGCTCCGTCTGCTGCCTCTGGCCAGGCACCAGGCACTGACCTGGTGTCTCAAGTGGAACACGACACCTTGCCCAGCCGAGATCTGAGACTCTGCCTCTCCCTCTCCCAGACGCAGACTCTGAGGCCCAGAGACCCTCTGACATCCTCCCACGACCCCAGAGCTGGGAAGAGGCAGGCCAGGACACAACCGGGCAAGGGACTCCCAAAGCTGACATGGACACCAGCCACTCAGCACCACTACATGGGCTCCACAACCTGGTGTTTGGGGTCCCCCCAGAGCAGACTTCACTCACCTCCTCCCAAGTCAAATGTGAAATTCTCTCTGTGGGTTTCTGTCCCTGCACAACACACCCACTGTCTGTGTATGACACACCTGCACCTTCAAATCCCTGCCAGACCTGGCTCACACCGCTCCTCCTGCTGGAATGCCAATCCCCATCTGCCAGAGTCCACCTACTGTTCTTTAGGCTGGTGCCACCTCTTCCATGCAGCCTCCCCTATTTCTCCCCAGTGTCATCAGGGGAAGAAGGACACCGGCCTCTCACACCTAGCAGTTCACACCCTTCTCTCCTCCCCTGCTGGACCACAGAGCTCCATCTTGCAAAGCTCAGGATGCAAATAAAGTGAGGGCCTCTCCCTGCTAGCAGAGGCCAAATTGTGCTCCCCCCACCAAAAAAAATTATATATATATATATATATATATATATATACTGAGGGGAGCAGGAGAGAGAGGTACTGTCTGCCTGGGGAACATAGACAGGCAGACATGAGCCTGATTGCAGGAAGCTCACGATCAAATCAAATGTTTCATCCAAGTTCAAGTTCAAGTCCCACAGGGAAGGAGCCCAGGGGGGCTGTGCCTAAAGTAAGATGGATCAGCACACGATTTCCCAGAAAGAGCACTACTGGGTTACGGCACAACACATTCCCATCAGGGTACCCGGAAGCCCCACCCCAGAGGCAGAGACCAGCACTGATGATATTTATCCACCTTCAAAAAACATGTGACCTGAGAGGGTGGCACAGGAGACACAAGCCCTGAGCTGCCTGTGCACGGCCCGTTCTGGATCCATAAACATGGAACGCAGTCGGCTTCAGCGAGACACTAATTTCACTCTAGCAATTTGTTTCTACAGCTRCACGTCAGGCAGAGAAGCAGTGTTTGAACTTCCAAGTGAGCCCCTTCCGCATCTCCATGGAGCCAGGAGCCCTCCACTGCCGGGAAAGCTCACATATGTTCCCAGGCTGCGAGCAGCTTGCCTCCCGCAATCCTTCAGTGAGATGCTCCCAGGTGCCCCTGTAAAGCCCCCTCGCCCAAGCTCTGTTTAACTGAAGAACCCCTGACAYGGTACAGGTTCGCCCCTCTGCTGGTGTGGACCGGTCCACAGGAGTCAGTGAGCATCGGCAAAGATTTTCAGATTTTATGAAGACTCCGCTTGGAAAGCAGCCTTGAGCTTGTTCCCTTCTGGCTGTAGCTTCCAGCAGAGGTGAGAACAACTGCCAAACGCGGTCTCAGATCCTTGTCTCTGGGCTGCAAGTTGAGAGGGGCGGGAGCACAGTGCATCTGAGGTGCTCCTGTGCCAAGAGAGCTGCTGCGCATGCAGCCAGCACCGAGGCCACCGCGACTTAAAGGAACCGGCGCACCTGGGCAGCCGTGGGGGCGGCCCTGTCCCCTTGCTCCACACCCAGGTTGGCCCCTGAGGCATCCTTGCTCCCAGCCAGAGGACAGGCCTTTCTGGAGAGGACCCACCTCCCCAGGCTGCCCAGGGCACAGCGTGGGCCAGAGGGGAGCAGGGGCAAGAGGTGGAGCCAAATGCCCAGCCAGGGTTTCCACACTGACCCTTCTCCTTACCCGGCACACGCCCGTACTCTCTCACTCTCTCTGCCTCCTGCCTCCGGGCCATCTGCGAAGGACCAGGGCTGCCCTGCTATCCACATCTACGCTTGTCCCTTGCTTCCCACTGACCAGCTCGGCGCCCCAATCCCACCCCTACTCAGAACCCCTCTCCCCAGCATTCACCTGCCAGCAGACAGGGTACAGCCACTCAGCCCGGCCACCGCCCTCCCTTAGGAGAACAGCCAGGGGGCTCCTCCCACCCCAGCGCCCCTGCCGGCTGGCCACCTTCCTCCTCAACTCTCCAAGGAGGCCACTGGAGGCCAGGCTCCAAGCTCAGAATAGGGTCAGGCTGGGCATCAGCCCTTCCTGAAGACAGCTGGTCCCCAGTTCCTGTGGCTCCTCTGCCACCCCCTGCCTGGCTCTTCACACACTGAAGCTAAATGATAAAGGGGCAGGAGCGAGCTTGCCGGACAGGCGACAAGCTGGCAGTCTGGGTGGGAAAGTTGGGCTGGCCAGTCCAGCTCTGCAGGGTTGGCACTCACTGGTTCCTGAGCTGCCTCTCAGCCCTGCCGTATGGCTGAGGGTGCGGGGCTGGCGGGAGCACCAGTGGGCAAGCGAGGGCTGAGCACAGCTGCACACCTTGACACACCCGGCTCAAGATACAGGGGGGAGGGTGGCCCCACGTTCTTCTAGGGAGGGGCACCTGCTATCTTCTGTAAGGCACCCCCATCAGTGGGTGGCTCCAACTGGGCCCACTTCTTCCAGGGAAGGGAGTTAGCTCTGCCCTCTGAGGTAACTGTACCCTGGAAGCCACCAGTTTAAGGGAGAGACAGCAGGCACGGGGTCCTGGTCAGTCAAGTCCACTCAGAGCTGCGCCTTGCCCCTCCCCATCCCTTCCCCAGCAAACATGGAAGCTCCTGGAAGTAGCCAGGGGTGCAGAGAGAAGAGGGGTAAGAGCCGTCCAGCAGGTTGCAGCCTTCCTGGCCACAGAAAGCCAGTGGGCAGGAGACCCCTACCCTCTCCACCCCATAGGCAGCCCTATGCTGCCTCCTCAGAACTTTGGGGAGTAACAAGAGGTGGGCTCTTGTTACTGGGGAGACCTGAGCAAACAGTAATGCAAGGGAACGAGGGAGACTGCCCTCCCCCTCCCCACACAATGCACCCTACCTGGAGAACCACAGCCTCCCTGCCCTTCTCCAGAACTCGTCCACTGGGGCTGCCCAGAGGTAACCACAGTGACCACCAGTCTTTCACCAGGAAAAGCAAGACTGAAGCAGCATCCCCAGAAAGAGTGAAGGGACCCCCATGACCCAGGGGTGCAGCACCAAAGAATGGGGCTGAATCTGGGAGGGCTGTTAACCATGGCTGGTGGGTGGAGGCAGAGGGGGAGGGGTGACAAACTTCCAGCTACAAAGAAAATCAATGTGGCCCCATGTGAAAGGAGGACGGGCAGGGGGCTTGCAGGTGGCCCAGACAGATCCCAAGTAGTGCTGATGCTGACCCCTGGGGATTTGAAGGTCCAGTAGCATCCATATGCCCTCAGGAGGAACCTCAGGGCAGCTAGAGGTTGCACCAGGAGAATCCAGGGAGAGGGGCAATACCAAAAGGAGAGTCCCAGAACAGCACATGAGGCTGAGCTGATCCACAGGGTAGACCACGGTGGGGGGATCCTGCAGCCAGAAATTCCTGCCCCATGTTGAGCAGAGTGGAGTGTGGGGGCCATCCAGCAACACCCAGATGTGTGGCCCCTGGGTACCTGGAGGCACCCAAGGTGGCCAGGGGTCCAGAAACCTTTAGGACCTTCCCTGGTACCCAGGATGTAAAGGCCAGGTTGGAGCCCCGGAGGCGGCTCGGGGACCAGAACACGGGAATGCCCCATAGACAGAGGCTCATGCATTTGGAGACCTTTCCCCAAGTAGCCAGTGACCAGAGGCCAGTAGGGGCGCCGCCGAGGTGACCGCGTCCCCAAGTGTCTGAGAACGGGGGGATGACTGCGGGGTGGTCCAGAAGTGGGCGGCTGTGACAATCTCCCCCGAGGTGTCCCGGGCAGGGGTCGCGGGGAGGGGGAGCGCGCGAGGCCACTTACGCTGCTGTTCTCGCCTGTCCAGTGCACCATCGCCTGGTTGTGTGTCGCGTCCCCCTTGAGCACGAACGACGTGCTGATGAGCGAGACCTGCGCCCGCGAAGCCGCTCCGGCCACTGGCGCCGCGCGCGCCCAGCGCCCCTTGCCCAAAGCGGGGGCGCCGTGCTCACCGGGACCCGGAGCAGGACTGGGATCCGGACCCGGGGCGCCGGGCTCCGGACCGCGCGTCTGCCGGTCTTCGCGGCCGCTGTGCTCCGTGCGCCCCGCAGGCGGGCTCCGCGGCACCCGGGTCAGCTGCGCGCGAGGACCCAGGCGCCCGGGCTCGGGGGAGCGCCCGGCCGCCCCGCAAGCGGCCAGCAGCAGCAGCAACAAGAACGGCCGCGAGCGCGGCCAGCGCAGCAGCGGAGGCGCCCCGCGGCTCGGGGCTCGGGCGGCGGGGCCGGGGCTCTTCGGGAAGCACGGGGGCCCCCGGTGCGCCATGGTGGCCGAGGGGCGGCGGCGGGGCCGGCGGCGGGCGGCGCGGCGAGGGATTCCGCGGCCGGGAGAGCGGGAGGGCGCCGGGGAGCGCGAGCGAGAGCGCAGAGAAAGGAGCCGGCGAGGGGAGGGAGCCGCGGGAGGAGGGGACTTGGGGCTCGCCGACGCCCGCAGCCGAGGGCGCATCGCCACCTGCCGGCCAGCTCGCGCCCGCCACGTGAGCGAGCGCGCACAGCTGTGATCTGGCCTGAGGGCCCCAGGTTCTGAGCCAGGCTTCAGCTCCGAGCCCATCCCTTTCCTCCCTCTTCCTACCCTCCGCCTGGCCTCCTTGCCTACTCTCTCCGCCTCTTTCCTTTCTTCCTTTCTTCGGGTATTTACTGAGCACTCACTCTAGTCCAGCCAGGGTTCCAGGCACTGGGGGTACAGCCAGGCCTCTCAGAGAACCCCAGTCTGCAGAAGGAGACAGACCACACCCTAGCGGAAGGCTTTCAGACAAAACAATTCCAGAGAGCTGGACCAGAAAAGCCTGGAAGCAGTCCTCCTCTGGGACCCCGAGAGGCACAGGGAAGGACCCGAGGACATGGAGACCTGAGAAGGGCATGTGGGGGGATGCAAAGCCCACCCCAAGGCTTTCTCTCCCACCCCCAGGGACCCGTTTGGGGGCAGCCCCTGAACAAGAGACTGGCCTGGGTGGCAGCAACCTGGAGAGGTCCCAGAGGGACTGGGAGGCCACCATGAAGCTTGTGGAAACTGATTCAGAGGACAAAAAGTTCCCGTCCAAGGGCATGTGGCTACTTCAGTTTGATATCTATAAAAATAACCACGGGGCACCCCTAGTGGAACCAGGCTGGCCTTGGGGACACGCAGGGCAGGAGCACCCCCTGGCAAGGCCAGGGTCCGGGTCAGTACTACATTCAGCTAGGCCAGAGCCCACCCGACCTCTGTCCTTCCCCAGAGCCCTCTGAGTTAGATCCCAGGCTGGGGACCCCATCACGCCTCGTCTCTTAGTTGGGGTCTTCTTTCCAGAGAGAACTCGGAGCAGGGCAAAGGGGTGCAGTCTCCAACATTTAGGAAAGTTAGCAAATGGGGTTCCCTGTGGCCCCTAGGGATTGACACACCAGTGCCCTCCCCAGGAGACACTATCAGTGGCACAGGCAGTCGTCACCAGGGTCCACCTGTGCCCAGCACTGGGGCTAGGGGACAGACAGGGAGCTCTGGCTCAGTGTCATGAAAGGCCTTGACGCTGTGTGCACTCAGATCAGACTCCAGGGTGCGGGAGGAGGGGCGCTGCCAACTGCAGGAAGGTCTGGCCTAGAAAGCAGGCAGAGAGCAGAGCAGGGTTGGTGAGGGGCTGGGGCGAGGTGCCAGGCAGGGGGCCCAGAGAGAGGGCTTGACGGGGAGCACAGCCCTGGGGCTCAGAGAAGAGCTGCCAGGTCATCCCAGCCTAGTCCACCTCACTTGCCCCTGCCCAGACTCCCCCATCTCCGCTCACCCCCTGGGAGTTGAAGGGGAGGCCCCACCACCCCTAAGCTCTCTTCCAGGGTCTAGTATTTTGTTTCGTTTTGTTTTAAATAGCAGAAGGCCTCTAAGTATTATCTTCAAGAAACCTGTGGCAAATTATTGAGCACCTACCATGGGCAGTTTCCTGAGGGCTCGAAAAGAAAATGGGGCCTCTGCTCCTGGGGGGCTACTGCAGTTATGACATCACTGTCACGACCAGACCGCAGAGGACATATGTACAGTTGTCCCCATTTACACATAAGGTACAGATTCAGATCTCAGGGACCCCCCGAGGTTACCCAGCCAGTATGTCAGAGGCCAGATTCTAGCCCTGGCTCTCTGACCCAGTGGCCCTCCTTGTGCCAGCAGCGTTGGGGTCACCAGTGTGTAGGACTCTCAGCCCTTCGCCCCTTGGGCTCCAGGGCAAGCTGCCCAGCCAAGCGGGGAGAAAACATGCCCCCCATCCCCGCTCACACCAGGCTCGCGTCACTCAGTGACTCAGTTAGGGACCCTCACAAGTCGGGGAGGGGGTCCAGGCCTGGAATGCAGGTAGCACGGTGCCCCACCAGGGCTCTTTCCAGAACAGTCTGTGCCCAAGTGAGGCTACAGGCATTGCAAAGAACAGGGCTTGTCCCTCCTGTGTATTCAGAGCCCACAGCCATCATGAGCCCCCCCCCCAGGTCATTTGGCTCACAGACATTGCTGAACGTGGGGACTCTGTGATGAAGGAGATGGACAATATGCCCAGGCTCTTGGGGAGCCTTGGTCTCAGCGGGGTGGATAGATACTAAGGGAAATCAATTTTGCTACTAGTAAGTAACCAGAAGAGAAGAGGCTGCCCTCTGAGGATCAGAGAAGGAGACAAGGGTCAGAGAAGCCCCTACCTCCCGGTCCCTAGGAGGTGGCTGAGAACAGAGGGCCCGCGGCAAGAAGGAGCTGGCCACGGGCACTTGGGAAGAGAGGGGTGGGGAGGAGCTGGTGTGCCCAGGGAGTAGCAGGCGTCCGGGACCCGATTTGTATTCACAGGCTGCTGAGAGGCGCTGGAGTGTTTTAAGTGGGGGAGTGAGAGTATTGGCATTTTTATAGCCAGCGTCCTCGCTGCCGTGAGGACAGGCACAGGAAGCACTCAGGAGGCTCTTTCTTCTCAGGTCCAGGGAGAGGCCGTGGTGGCCAGGAGCTGGYTGGCAGGGACAGGGGAGGAGAGGACGGAGGGGAACCTGCAGGACCGTCAGCCCCCTTCCAGGCACCTCCTACTTCCTGAGCTCTGCCTCCCTAGTGACCCACCCCAGGGACTCAGGGACATAGGATGGGGACCGTGCCGACAGCAAAGGAGAGCTGCTTGGCCCCCTTGGCACGTGCCCAGAGGAGGAGAGAGGGGACCCAGGCCGCAGAGGCAGGGTCAGTGGTGCCCTCCCAGGTGGCCACAGGCTCKGCGGGCACCAGGGTGTGCAGGGCTGATGGAGCCCTGGTTATAAAGCCCCCTCAGGTGCCACTCACCAAGCACCTGTGGATGCTTGAACTCAGTGTCCGGCACTTGGGGTGCACTGGACAAGTACCAGACTCCCCCATGCTCTGGACCCTGTGGTCATGACGCTGGGGCCCTGAGATGGAGCCCAGCCCCAGTCACCCACCCTCGTCAGCTCTGCTCCCAGCTCCAGGCCACACACGGGCCTCCAGGGAATCCTCCCTGGCCCTCGCTCCCCGGACCTCACAGTCTGATGGGGAGGGTCCCAGGTAAACAGACAGTGACACCAGAAGAGCAGGTGGCCCAGGGAGCACCTGACAGCCTGAGGGAAGGGGAGCTGCTGGGGGGACTGAGGGAGGAAGGTCACGGGAGCAGCAGTAGTTCCAGCAACTGTGACCATGACCATCATGAGCTCCTAGTGGGCACGTGGGCCAAGCATGGTTCTAGGGGCGGGGCTCAGGGACCTTGTGATATCTATAGAGCACAGGGACTGTTTCCCCAATTTGAAGATGAAGGGGAGGAAGGCACATGGGGTTAGCAGTTGACCCTAAGGACAAAGTCCTACTCCCAGGTCCTGCCTCAGACTCTTTGCCTTCCCCTATTCCAAGTGACCTCCCCTGTAAAATGGCCCTGCCCCAACCCAGTGGTCCTCAAAGTGCTGTCCCTGGGCCAGCAGCACCTGCAGCGTTCACAGGGACCTGGCCCCACACAGACCTGCAGAGCAGAGGTGCGGGGTTGGGATCAGCGTCCGTGTTTCCTCAGCCCGACAGCGGTTCTGAGTTTGAGAGCCACTGTGCTAACCCTGCATTCCAGGCCCAGGCTGGACATTAGAGTCACCTGGGGAAAAAGCCCAGTACCCAGGTCCTTTTCCTGACCCCAGGCTGTGGGAACTCCATTATTCAGTCATCTCCAAGCTCCCTGGGTGATTCAGAGGTGCAGGCAACTGTGAGCCCACAGGCGTGTGTGTGTGTGTGTGTGTGTGTGTGTGTGTGTGTGTGTACGTGCTCTTGCACACGCTAGGCAAGCACTCACCACTGACTCACAGCCCCAGCCCCACGGCATAGCTTTTTATAAAGATTCAGGAAAACCAGGCACGGTTGCCCACCCCTGTAGCCCCAGCTGCTCAAGAGGACGGTGCAGGAGGTTCACAAGAGCAAGTCCAGCTGGGCAACACAGCAAGACCCCACCAACAGGAGGGCAGGGTACAGCTAGGTGGGCCAGCAAAACCCCACGCAAACCTTTTGATTTCAAAATGCACTCCTGCGGGGCCCTGGCCATGCCCACCCCCAGCAGGAGGAGGGAGCAGGTCCTTCCAGCAGTCAGTCACCCACATGTGCATTGAAAGTCCCCTGACTTTATTGGAGGTCTCCAGTGATAACATTTTAATTCAACTTTACAAATGTGACAAAGGTCAAATCATGTCTCCCCCTCAGCAGGGTTGGCCCCAGAGACAGGTAAGGACGCCACAGGCAGGAGTGGGAGGGCCTGGCAGGCAGGCAAGCGGGGGACAGGCTGCTGGGGGACTCCACCGGAGGAGGCCACCTCTTGCCCCCTCACTGCCTCTGGCTGGAGGAGAACTTTTTCAGTTCTCACTCTTGGGACAATCTGTGGTGACTTTCAGAGACGTCTCCTGATGACTTTAGCAAACGACAAGGGCTAGAGGGGACGGCCTGGGCAAGAAGGATCAGGTGCCAGGATCTGGTCGTCTGGTGGGGGCAGTGGGCCAGGCAGTGGGCACAGCGGGTCAGAGCCTGACTCAGGCCTGGAGCTGGAGCCTGAGTGGGGCCTGAGGAAAGGCATCCGCAGGGAGAGGGTGCCATGGTGAGCCAGAGGTGGGACCGGCCACGCCCCCAGAGGAGGGGAGCCGGGAAGTCAGGGTCTGCAGCTCTTTGCAGCGGCACTTCTCAAAGCATTTGCTTTTTGGTGGATGTGGGGACTTCTTGACCCTTGGAACACCACCTCTGTGGGCCGGGCAGGCCCTGCAGCGAGAAGCACAGCTAATCCACCGCCAAGGGCTGCTCTGTCTCCCCATTCACCAAAT